CTCTATTTATAGAGAGAGCTAGGCTATGTCAGCACAGCAGCCAATCAGAAGGCAGGTCACCAACTGCCAGCCAGGTCACCAACTGCCAGTCCCCAGCTCCAGAGATCTCTTAAAGGGACCTCAACTTACAGCGACACAGTCCACAGGCTAGGCATCTCACAGTAGTGTAGCCTTTAAATTGAGGCACAGGACAAGCAAGGCTGCCACACACTGGTCTGATGATCAAAGAGTGAGAGACAAGAAAGGCGCGACTCACCAAGGCATTTATCTCTCTGCCCTTCAGTTAATCCCACTTGTGTTTATCGGCCAGGCTGGCACAATAAACTATTTCAGACAGTAATTAAAAAAATATCCAATTCTCTTTATACCACATTTCTGTATTTTCACACAGGAAAATCCTCACAACTTTCCAGCTAGTGCCGAGCAATGCTCATCTCTCGAGACAGCTGGCACAAGTGCTGCAAGACCCAGAGTAAGCAAGTGCCCTCCCACACGAAGCCCAAGTCATGCTGGGACCCTCGGCTGCCAACACTGAGATTGGACCCGGCTGCATCCACACAGTTCAGGCGAGGAGACAAGAAAAAGCACAGGGACTAAGGCTGGGGGTGGGGAACTTCTCCTGCGACTCTGAGTCTTGTATTCTCACAATAAGGACCACTGACTTTGTCTACAATGCTTTCAACAATGCATTCAGGGTCCGCACCAAGACCCCGGTGAAGAACCGCATCATACTCATCGCAGCACACCTTACCAGCAACGACACGAGTCCCACTGTACACTGCACTTAGGTTGTAAGAAAGGGCGAAACTGACTTCTGAAGAGGGAGAGATATTAAGTAAAAAACGATCACAGAAAATTCAGAAACAAATATGACGAAAGGAAAAAGAATGCAAACCCCAGCCGTCCTTCAGATGAGCATTTCCAGCAGGACGAGCAGCTGCTTGCACGGCTCCGAGGCCGGGCCCAGGGGCGGAACAGAGGGCCTGGGGCTGGAGCTCTACCTGACGGAAGTCTCTGCTCCAAAGGCAGTAAACCTGCCATCTGACAACATGCATGACAAGTATTGATCCCAGAGGAGCAAAGAATATGCCTCCTACTCTCCCCCCTTACCACACCAAGCTATTAAAATCAAACCTACCATATTCCAGGTTTTAAAATACAATTCTACATTTAAATTCTTTAACATAAACTCATACTATAAAGATTGTAAAAATCCATTTCAAAAAGTCCTAATGGTTATGAACACAGGAATTGTTGATTAATGGTTTCCATGAAATTGCAACAGCAATCTCCAGTAGTAAATAGGAATAAACAATATATGTTTCAATTCTGAATAAAGTGTGATGAAGACAAATACATTTCCATTTCTACTTCATGAAAAAGCTGTCAGCAGCAAATTCACAGCGATAAACTTATTTTAAGTATAAACATAATAGTTATTTAAAATCTCTTACTTAACTCACACCATAGGGATTCAGTCTTGAGGGGTTTGGGTATTTGGGACTATTTAGCTCCTTTCCTGAGAGCCCGAGTGTTTTATGCATCATTAAAGTTATGATAAATTAAGAAGAGAATGCTAATAAAAGAAGGTACTTAAACTTGCATCATATGATGGTTCATTGTTCTTTAAAGACAAATGCTTTTCAGACCTGAACCTAGGTAATGCAAACAAAGGTACTTTAAATAAAAGTGAACAGAATTTTATGTAATGGTGAAATTAATTGGTGAAAATAAATTTACTTGGAGACTAATTGTTTTATGAAAAGATGGCATGGATTGCTTTCTGAGTGTGTGAATTAGGATTTACAGTTAAAAAGAAAAAGGGATAGAACGTACTCTAAAATTTTGAATTAATACATGTATATTGTATTTGTTTTCAGGACTTTTGAAAACCAGAGTGACATACATGCCACCACGGATGACAATTATTGCAGGTCTGTAACAGGAGGGCCATGAACGCAGATGAAGCTGTGCACCTGTGCTACGAGAATGTAAATGGATCCTGTGTCAAAACGTCCTACTCCCCTTTGCCCAGGGTCATTCTGTACATGGTCTTTGGCTCTGGGACTGTGTTAACCGTGTTTGGAAACCTCCTGGTGATGATTTCGATTCTTCATTTCAAGCAGCTGCA